AGATATATAAAAAAAAAAGTACCAAAACCATCTGAACTGTCAGCATGAGTATTCTATGTTAGTATTTTTACTGGGATGTTCCCACACATCGGGTGCAGCTATGCAATTCGATTCTGATCTAGGAGAATTATGTTTGAAGAAGTAACGAATTACCCATGTACTTTCTTAAATTCTTATTTTGCAACTTTCTTCCATTTTGTAGATTTAGTTAGAGAGATGATGTTTTTACAGCACCACTGGCAGCAATTGCGCAAATAGGAGCTGCTGCTGGTATTCCCCTTCCGGGGCTGCCGATGCCACCAGCTGTTGGTCCGTTGATTTGGCCACCGCCACTTCCAGCTAGCGTTGCACCCGCTCCAGCAAATTCCACACAGAATCGGGTGAATTTTCACTTCATTCATTTTCACATTCTGTTCATATGAAAGAGTAACTTAAATAGCCGCAGAAAGCGTGGTCGCACCTCCACTCGGTGCATAACTGATTTCTCATATTTTCTTATCACTTACACAGCATTTTTAGGATATTGACTACCGTACTGGTGCTCCGCCACTTCCGATACCTCATCTGTTGTCAGGAACTGCCGGCACCTCAACATCGGCATCAGGTGATGTGGATCTCAGAAACCAGCAACCTTCGTCATCGTCGTCTTCGCAGACACAAAGTTGGCGGCCAGCAAACCGTTCCCCGGAAACTCAACCAACAATTACCGATGAACTACCAAGGAGCGCTGTTACAGGTTTGTTGCATCAGTCATCCTCGTTTTTTCAGTTCAGAAACCAAAATCCGAATCTTTTTTTGTCTTCTGAGGCGCGATGAGGCTGTGACAGAGCAGTGCTGCCTCAAGCTGAGAATGATATCGAGAGCAGATAAGAATATGAAAGTGTTTAGGCGAAGTGCCGATACACGATCCCCGGATGCGGCGAGGCGGAACAAGGCCGAATCTGAGCAGAAACAGTAACGACGAACGGCCACTGGGAGGAATTACGCCAGGGACACAAGTGCGTGATCCGCGAAGGAGGCCACAGCTCAGCGGTGCACAGACTACCCTAAAGCAGCAGGTTGGTATTGTTATTGGATAAAATGGGACGACTGGTGCCGAAGTAATTCTTCGGTCCTTCTTCAGCTAAAAAAATCCATTTTCCTTAATCACTTATTTTGAGTTAAAAAAAAAGAAAGTCAGCTTTCTAATTACCTTCAAGTGGCATTACTTAATAATCACTGTTCAACTGTTTATTGATCTAACGCAAATCGGAGTCAAATTGATGTAAAAGCCAAATAACACATCCTCAGTTTCTCAACCTAGAACTGTGTTTTTTTTAGCTTCAAACAACTTTTGACGTTAATGTTGATGGCCTCAGTGATTTCGATATTCTTGTTTCAGGGCGTCGATTATGATGGGCGATTCGAAGGTAGTCAAGTTCGCCGACGAGTATGGATGCCGAGCATTAATGAAGTGATAGATGGTCGAATGAGTAGTGCCTCACGACTGAGTCCCATGCGTCGTGAATTCGGCAGCCCCAGCGGTGATTTTGATGATCGTCTGCCGCCGTCGCAGCAGTATCTGTCATACCAGCAGCAGTTAGCCGGCGGTGGACCTATGCGACGTGCAGCAAGCAGTAGCCGAGGTCGAGCTAGAAGAGCAGCCTACTAATCATCATATTGCTGATATTTTGCCAGTATTCAGAGGGAGGGAGTCTAGCTAACGATGGGATTTGTTTTGGCCAAATATTCAATAATCCCTGAATCTTTATGTCCTGAAATTCTTTTTTTTTTTCTGGTTTCGGGAAATTGAGCCAGTAGTCGGAATTGAAGGACCCCACTATTCTGAGTGATTTGGATATCCCAAAGGGATTCAAATGAAGAAAACATATAAAACAGAACAGTGCTGGGGAACCGGGGAAGGGGAGGGAGGGAAAGGGGTCGTGGGGAGTAAAGGAGACTGTTTTTTTGCTAAATCCACTTCCACTTTTTGTAGAATTGTTTTGTTTTGCTTCATCACACGTTTGATTGTTCTTCAGTGCTGAATAAATTAAATGTACGTTCCACATTGTTGCTCAGGAAATTTTAGATGAACCCGATTAAAGCGATTTTTCGCATCAAACGTACATTCGAATACTCGTGATTTATCAGTAGAATAACAGCACCTAAAGTTCACAACATAACACCTGACGGTCTTTTCTCGAATCGCTTCATCCAAACAACTCTTCCTCTGACTTCAGGCCCAAAAAGTCTCCGTTTCCTTTCATTAAGATAATTCCCTGGACCGCTGCTTCCAAAGAAAGTGCTGTGCACAGTCGTAGGCTGTCCAAGGCAATACATTGGAATTGTGTGGAATTTTTGTGTAAATCCAGTCGGAGCTGTTCGCTCTCAGCTTTATCCAAGCATCAACTTCATAAATAGTGAAGTCCTTTAGTGATGGTGGTTTTTTACGGGACAGTTTCCACTCACCTAGGTTCAGTTTTTTCGCCTTTGTTTCTTTTTTTTCGCTTTTACTCATAAACTCAGGTATACTTTAATTTACTTTTCTTTGTAGTGTTTTGTTGTCTCTTTCTCTTTACTGCTGCCTCCAGTTCTTGACTCAAACTCCTGACTGCTTCCCTTACTCCCCTTCTCTAACCTCCCCCCAATTCCCGCCTATAGGGCGGAATCTGGACACCCATCACTCACCACCCATCAACCACTGCATCCATTTCTTGTCTCGAACTCCTTACTGGTACCTTTGTCCCTTTCTGTCCCCAAAACAGCATTAGCTGAGCATTTCAAAAACATCTGGACACACACATACATACACAC